GGAGATGCTGAGAGTTTTTTAATTATGAGATGCATTGGCAGCCATGACCCAAGGCATTTTGATGCTTTGATGTATACAGAGCAAGGTAAAGTATAGTTTAAGGCAAAGCATATAGAAATAAAAGCTACCATGTAAAAATGTATAGAATAGAAGTTAGTGGCACATACTGTATCATAGAAAATCCCTCCATCACTAGGCCCTGTATCTAGAAACAGAATACAAAATCCACAAATTAAATAACCAATCATACAGCAATAGTTTCATTTTTTAAGAACATTTGAACTAATCTTACTTTTTTGTAATGCCAGGCAGAAGAAAAACCTCCTGCACTGCTTTTTATCATTTATCTCATCTGATGAAAAGAAATTTGCTACAGGTAGTCCTTGACTTACCACCAATCATTTAACTAGGGAGCTACATTTGGCGGGCCCCAGGGTCAGACCTTTCTGCTCAGGAGTGATGAGGTCTACATTGCCTGGATTGTAGAATCTTCTCGCCCCAGAGATAAGGTTAGCAGCATCACCTCTGAATTTTAAAGGTCTCTCAAGACTTGGTTATGGGAACAAGCCAGTCAGGGGTGGGTTCTAAAATTTTTTTACTACTGGTTCTGTGGGCGTGGCTTGGTAGGGGTGGGTTAATGTGACTGGGTAGGTATGGCCAACTTTTTTTTTTCTTTTAAAAGCATTTTTTCTACAACCTTAAGAGGTTGCAGAAAAAAATGCTTTTAAAAGCCTCTGACAATCAGGCAACTCAGCTGGGATCACCAGAGGATTTTAAAGGCTTTTTTTTTTTTTACAACCTCTTCGGTTGAAGAGGTTGTAGAAAAAATGCTTTTAAAAGTAAAAAAAAAAAAAAGGCTCTGATAAGGTGGGCGGGGTAAGCGAGCGGCAACCAGGCCGGGGACTGGTTCGGGGACGTGGCTAGCCAATGTTATTACCGGTTCGCCGAACTACTTCAAATTTTTACTACCGGTTCTTCCGAACCAGTGCGAACTGGGAGCAACCCACCACTGAAGCCAGTGGATTTCAGGAGCTACATGAAGTCATGAAATGGCTCTATTATTAACATCTCTCCATCTATCATTTTCTTTTTTTACTATAGTTCTGCTTTTATAGCTTTTAATGCTCTTTTAATAATTATTTTATTATGATTTTAGATAATAATTGTTTTATTATTTACTGTTTTACTTGACTGATGTATGGTACACACTTTCAATGAGATGGGCAGCCATATGAATTTGATTAATAAACAAACTATTCTATTTCATATCAAGATGGCAGATAGGTGAATGTGGATGTCTTAGCTTTCTTCATATAATCGTTTCTTCAGCAACCTGAAGGCTCTCTAGTTTCCTACCCTTCAATCAATTCCAAAGAAAAAGTTTTTTTGCTGAGCTCTTTCAATAGCAATACTTCTTGAGAAATTGAGAATGTTTCCTTCCTCTCAAGAAATATAGACACATTATCTACTCAATTTTTCTGTCCAAAAAAACTAATGGAGAATTTTGAAAAACCTTTTTTTTTCCTGAAAAACTTCAAAAATATTATTTTTCTAGTTTTATTCCTGAAGTACACACTGGCTTCACAGCTGAAGTAGGCAGTGGAATTGTTGAAATATGATTTACTGGCTGTTTGTTTTTTGTTTTTGTTTTTTAAATTGAAGAGATGTAATATAAAAGATATCAGTTAAATATAGGTGGGTAGGATGTAATTTATTATCCCATCTATATTATTTTTATAAATAACTCAAGATGCTAAACATATCTAATACTTCTTCCTCCTCCTATTTTCCACACAACAAAACACTGTGAGATGGGTTGGGTTGACAGAGAGTGACTGGCCAAAAGTCACCCAGCTGGCTTTTCTGAATAAAGTGGTACTAGAACGTAGTCTCCTGGTTTCTACCTCGGTGCCTTAACTACTAGACCAAACTGGTCTAGTGCCACCAAATGTATTCTATTCTCAAGTAATTGAATCCTGTCGTGTAAGACTAACAAGTTGTATTGTACTTATCACCTCTATTAATATTCCTTTGTAAACATTCGTCAGTATGGAATGTTCAGTTACACAAGATGCTAAAGTTGCTTTGCTTAACCTTTGGACAATCCCTTGTATCTAGAAACAGAACTTTAGTTTATTGCTAAGTACATCAAATGGTATTTGGCCAGTCTGTTGAATTTACCTTTAACTGTCATAGCATAAGAGGAATCTAGGTGTGTTCATCAGAATATCTGTATTAAATCTAATCACATATTTTAAGTCAGGTTGCCTTGAGGTCACAAGAGATTGCACAGCATATCAAGGGTCCTATTCCAAAGGAAAGTTCATTTTTATAGGGTGGGGGTTCAGCTGGTATTTTAATGGATCAAATGGGCATCTTAAACCTCTGCAAATTTTAAGGCGCCTGTGTTGCTCTTAAGATTCCCCCAAACCCCCTAAATGCCAGGCTGAAATCATGGTTCCACCTACTATAGGAAGGATTTTGGGTCATCAAACAGGGTACCAATAGACCACACTTTTTGTTCTCCTGCCTTAGCTTCTTTTCTTCAGACCCTTTATCTAGTTTCCAAATACCCAGTTCCATTGGGAATGGAAAAGGAATGAGTAAACTATTAATAGGGTTATCTCTGAAAAGATTACTGGGACTTGAGAAAAAGCAAAATGGAAGAAAGAAACTTATACTCAACAAAATAAGATGAGGATTTGTTTAAGATGGAGTGAAGATAAACTCTAAAAAGGGTGATTCAAGATTCTGTTACTCTACCCTACAACACTAAGAACACTAGGAATATCTTACCTACCACACAGGACTGACACTTATCATTAGATAAGATTGTGGTTGAATGGCACTAGCAACAATGCTTTTCAACTATTATTAAAGTAATAATAGTTATTACTTATAATAACTATTAAAGTTGAGCTGCCCTGAGTCTTCAGAGACGGGCAGTATACAAATTGAATTAATAAATAAAGTAGTTATTAAATATGAATCTCTGATATTTATATAATACAGGCAGCACAGATGTGTAAGGATGTATATTAATTTATACACATACAATTCTACCAGTTTGCCTGAAATAATTCTGAGTATGTTTGGTGTAGCAGTTAAGATTCTGGGCCACAAATCTGGTGATCATAAATATTAATCCCACCTGAGGCACAATGCCAATGAGATAACCTTGGGCCACTCTTTCAATCTAGGAAGCAAGCAAAGGCAATCCCCTTCCAAATTCTAGTGAGAAAACAACAGGGACTAATGCTGGACTTTTCAAGAATGGACAATGACGCAAAGGCACAAAGGAATTGTGGTGAGCTCTTCTCACTGAAAGCAATAATATAAAATACACAATACTGGGGAGTGGCAAGACAATTGTACCTATCCATTTCATACATTAATTTATTGTAAAAAAAATACAAAAATCCTTCACAAACATGGAACATTAGGAGCAATTTTAACGATAATTTTTAAATATAGGTTTTTTTTAAAAAAAATAGATGATTTTAATAATGTACAAGTTATCCAAATCTCTTGCATGATGAAGAGTTCTGGAGAATTCAACTAAGGATTGAGTGTTCTCTTCATATGTTCATTTTTTTTTAAAGAAAAAAACTTGCTTAAATGGACTAGAAGATCTCCAAGGTCCCTTCCAGCTCTGCTCTATTCTATTCTACTCTTATTTCAAATGAACCTGTTTGACTCATACCAGAAATTTAGCTATACACATGGAAATCAGAGATAGAGGCAACGAGTTTAGCTCTGCTGTGCAGCCCATGTTCCAAGTTTGAATATATACATAGACTTTTCTTTGCAGTAAGCAGGTCATCCCATTGTCTTCAGCAATTTTCTTATTATTTGATTTCTGTTCCTTGCTTAGTTCATACTTTGAGAAAGGCTATTTTATCTCCAAATAGTACAAGCTTATTTCTATTCACTCAAAAAGATTAATTTAAACTGGTTCTGCAAAGCCAACATCTCTCTCTTAACAATTGGATGGGTTTTAAATCTGTATATTTATTTATATCAGATTACCCTTTTCTTTTTTTTTACAACACATTTTAAAAGATAATTACTTTCAAAGGGCTTTTTTAGTTTTGATCCCATCGCAGAATAAATTTGCCTATATTTTACACAAATCTATACAGTATGAAAGGTGGAAGAAATGGTCTGTCTTGCAGCACTGAGGTTAAACTTATTCAGTAAAAATTAAATGCATCAGACTCCCGGGATAGCATTTTTATATGGTTTCCAATATGTTTTTCACGAATGCGAAATTCGGAGGAGTGGGGAGAGGTGGGACACCCTAAGTCTACCCCTGCTTTGATAAATTTGCCTCCTTATTTCTTAAAGTCAGCATTATAATAATACAGGAGGAATGAATCATAGTGACGTCCTTCCAAACAGATGCAGCCAGGAGGAGCAGAGGAAATCATACTGCTCCCTGTTATTATAATCATTATTCTCTTTGACTAATCTTTTCACCCTCGGCATAAGCATCAGAAACCAGGAAATAAAACTATAGTACAAGATTTAATTTTGGACCCGTTCGGGTTCCAGTGTTTATTTGACCAGCATTCTATGCGCCGTACTTTCGGAGCGAATCTTTCAGGGCGGCAAAGATAACGATGGAACGGAAATTCCTCTATTAAACCACTTTGGTGATGCCAATCACTATCAAAGCGCAATCAGAGTGAAGCGGCGGAATTAAATCAAATTTAAAAACACGGAAGACTGACTTCATGCCGGGAAGAAAGAGCGGAGGGTCTCTATCAGCTTCCTCTCTGAACCGGTTGCCTTCTTGAAAGGGTTTGGGATTTCACAACTCCCACCCAGCGGTGTCTGGGGATAATGGGGCTTCAAATCTAACCCATTTGAAAGACAACTGCAGTACAGGAATCTAATCGTCGTGCCACCCTACGGCAAGGGCAACCTCGTTATAGGAAAGGCGATTTTCACCACGTTTCTTTTCGCCCTTCCTCTCTTTCCAGCCTCAAATTACTTACCAGACTACCGCGGCTCCGCAGGAGCGAGAGGATCGGGCAAAAAGCAGCAATCAGCACGAGTCTCGAGCTCCTCGCGCGCCACCACAAAGCCGACAAATGCAGCAACAGCTGACCGAATCTAGGCGTAGATGAGGACTTTGCATCCACGTGATCGCCGGCAAGAGGCGGAGTTGCCGAGGTTTCGTCATCGCCCGCGGTTGCGCTAAGGTGAGTCGAGGAAAAAGGCCTGGAAAAGTGCCCAAGGCTGGTGGTAGGAGACAGTGGCTGATTGGAGGAGCCCAGGGTGGCGAAAGTGATGGGGCGTAAAGCATGAGGGGCTGCCCTGGCGCATCTCTCTTCCACCGGTTCCTAGAGTTCAGTATTTATTGCTTTATGTATTGATGCACCACCACCACCCTGCCCGCCCTTTTCTCACAACCCTGATCCTTTCAGATCTTTTGCCCTCCTGGGAACCGGAGGAAAGAAAGAGATTGGAACGCCCAGTACCCTTTTAAGCCACACGGCGCCGTGGAAGAAAGCTATTTAGGAAGCGTACTCCCCTGATGATTTGTTCCAAAACCATCCTCTTTACTGTGTTAAGAACAACAGAATTTAGGGCGTCTTTTGTTACCGCTGCCTGGGATTCTGGGAGTTGAAGTTTCTGCACGCGGGTGACAATGATTTGGGGACGTCGTATTCCTAACCAATCAACTTTATGCTACCTCCTGCCGGAATTGATGGACCTCTAGTCCAAAAGACGCGTTAGTACACTATTAGAGCTGCCATAAACCCGTGAAACGCAGGCCAATTCATCTGAAGTTTCTATATGTATATGTAAATGTGTGTAAGAAAAATGGCTTGGGTAGTCAAGTTAGCCCACTTATGCCATGTTCGTTGGAAAAGGCATTCCTCAAGACCATTCTGTCTTGTTGGTGTCATAAGGCTCATAAAAGATACTAGAATCAGTGCTTTTTGCTGAGTATAATATTGTAGAAAGTTAGCACCCACCCCTCCTAGAAGAATGTAATATTCTAGGAAATATTAAAAAGGCAGAATATTTCCCCTAAAAGAGAAATAGAACACAGAAACTCAGCCCTAGCAGATATTTTGGCACCAGCTTACCTACAAGACAAAAGACCTTCAGGTCCAGGGTGATAGGATTAGCCCTCACTCAAAATCCAAACCAGGGCAAAGCCATTAAAGCCATAATAGGAATTGCCCAAAGCCCCTTCATTACATCACCTAGCAAGATTCAACCAAGCCTGAGAGTCAAGACAACCTACAAAGTTACCCCTTCATGGCCCCATGGGAGTTTGACAACCAATCAGAATACATTTCTTTCACAGGAACAGGAAGCAAGTTCAAAGCCCAAGAGAGGTATAAATATCTCTCTGTGTGTCTGTCTATCTGTCTGTCTGTCTGTCTGTCTGTCTGTCTGTCTGTCTGTTTTTCTCTCTCTCTCTCTCTTTCTCTTTCTCTTTCTCATGTGCTCGAGTGCCCAGGACCTCAAACCATGTGGTCCTGTCCACCATTAGACCATCTTTCCAGCCTCCATGTTTCCAGTGTCTTTCTTTTTTAAAAAAAAAAAAACTTTATTCATTCTTTAAAAAAACATTTAAAACATACAAGTTTCTCTTAATCAAAAACAAATTTACATATACAGTACACAACTTCGTCTATTGACTAATTTCTATTCTTATATATACATATATACATACACTCAGTGACTTATTTCCTTTTCTATCCATCTGACAGTGCTGTTTTTAATTGTATTGATTTCTTCTGAATTTCATCTTTACCCATTCCCCCTCCTCTGGTTTATCCACTGGTACCATCTATTCCATATTGTAAAGTATTTTGAGTCTTCCTTGTCCTGTAACTCTAAAGTTAATTCGTCCATTTCTGCACATATATATATATTTTGTATTAGCTCCTGGTCGGTTGGCAAACGATCTATTTTCCAGAGTTGTGCTAACACTAGTCTAGCCGCTGTAATTATGTGAAGTATTAAATATTTTATATCGTTTCCACTGTCTTTTTTCCCACTTGGAACTGAACCCAGATGGACATTTCTTCCAACAATATTTAATTTGCTTGTAAAACCTGTACAGCCAGCTTATAGAAAGTATCTTTATTGAAGAATGAGAATAGACCAATTGCATCTTAGTATTCCAGGCTAGTCAAGCCCCCTATTAATTTTTAGTCAAATTCACACTTCTAGTCCCAGAGTCAAGGGATCTAAATCTTTTGATTCCTCAGATCCATTTTAGGTTCAATATTTGTTTCTCAGATAAGTATGCAATATGTACTTTCATTGCATAAAAATATACAGTGGCACTGCTGGTTTTCTTTGTATAAAATGTATGTTAACTCATAACTTTGCTTGTGTCTGTACCTGGAATCAGTTATTTTTCCTAGATTTTAACTATGTTGCCTGGTGGAGAATTCTTAGAGCTGATGGAAGTTGGTCCCATACATCTCAAACCACATTGAAAGTGAATACTAATCTCTCTTCACAGCCAAATTTTTCCATTTCCAGAAATGCTATGATTGCCAATTGTGAGCTCATAATAAGCAGCATTCTGATTTGCCTGTATGACTATCTATCACTGAGCCAGTATCCCCCCCCCCCCCCCAAACTTCTGCTTGGCATTTTACATGAACAATAAAAGTTCTACCAATCACACCACAGTCGTTATATTGTCCTCCTTTAAGCAAAGCAAAATTCTGAATGAACATATTAGAAAAAATGAACAGAATGGTGTAGACCCATTTTGCTCCATCGTTAGAAGTGAAAAATTACAGGTAATCTCCGGGTTATAAAGGTTCCCTTAGCGAATGTTCGAAGTTATGGGAAAAGTGCCCCCAAGGGTTTACATACAAGATCCAAAACTATGAATCTTGCAGCACCACGGCAGTTTTTTCACCCTTACAACCATCTGCAGAAGCTCTGCAAAATTTGTACTGCACATTGCTGGCCAAAATGGAGCTTCTGAGGGGAGGATCCGCCTCTCAGAAGCCCCATTCGGGCACCCAGAGGCCTCGCCCAGCACACTGCCAACCGAAATAGAGCTTCCGGGGGCCTCTGGATGCCTGAACGGGGCTTCTGAGGGGCGGATCCTCCCCTCAGAAGCTCCATTTTGGCCAGCAATGGGCCAGGGGAGTCCTGCGGAGGCTTGATCAGAACTGCAGAGGGGTGCATGAGGCTGGAGAGGAGACTGCTTGCTAGATCTTCACAAGGTAAGTGATCCAGCATGGCAGGTTGGGTGGGGAAAAGCAATTTGGGGAGCATGAGATATTTCGGTGGGTCAGGGAGGCCTTGGGTGATTTTAGGCAGGTGGCCTGTTTCATCAGTAGGTTCTCCATCACCTTCCTCACCCTGAAATACCTCATGTGCACATAATGAGACTCACATTTGATTAGCGAAGGATCTCGTTCAAGGTATGAGATTCACTCCCATGAATCCTCGGAATGGAATGGGCAGGCTTCATTACATTCATAACTCAAGGACTATCTGTATTACATAACTACCATGTAAAATTTTGTTTTAAGATTTAGCAAAATCTCTGCCCCACCCGATGCCTTTTATAATTCATACGGAAATATTACATATTCAATGGCACTTATATAAAAGTATACATGCATAAATTGTATCCCAAATTAATAATCACTGGATTTTTCCTGTGATAAATGAATTAAGAAATAAAGGATGAAGCTAGTTGTAACCTAGCTAAAGCATTGTTTACTTTCTAAGATATGGAATATTTTTTAGTAACTTGAAACTTTGCTGATATGACTTATCGGTAACATAATCAAGTTCTTCATGGCTAAGTATCTAGTTTGACTGAAATATCTGAAGGCTTGGCATAGTTGAGAAGACATGACCTGCTAAACAACTTCTGAAAATCTTGAGTTCTCACTGTTCGGGTCCAATAATATTATTGCCTTGGTTATCCTGTGTTTTTTTTTTCTATAGCACTGAGACAATGACAACAGTCCATTATAATCCATTAGATTCTGAAGAATTATTTAGATTACATAATTTTACAGTTATATGTTTCATAATGCACAATCATTCATATATATTAATTTATTTCAACTTAATTGGAACTTTATAATGACTTCCCATAAATACATTACTACAATATTTTCCAGCACAGAAGCTGTGTCATGTTAGATCTGCTGACCATAGGACAAAACTAGAAATATTAAACAGAAAATATGTCTGTTCCGGACAATATATCTACCTGTCTGTTCCAGTGCTTACAAAATATCCTATTTCTTTAATTCCTTATATTTAAAAAATATAACCTGAAATCTAAGGACTCAAACAATTCAGGGCATATCCTCTACAGCAGTGGTTCTCAACCTTCCTAATGCCACGACCCTTTAATATAGTTCCTCATGTTGTGGTGACCCCCAACCAGGGGTGGGTTCTAAATTTTTTTTACTACCGGTTCTGTGGGCGTGGCTTATTTTGTGGGCGTGGCTTGGAGGTCATGTGACTGGGTGGGCATGGCTAGCTGGTCATGTGACCAGGTGGGCATGGCTATGTGTATAGGGACTACTCAGAAGGCTGAAAAAAGTCATTTCTGACAGGTCCTCACACTTTTGACTGGTTCTCACACTTATGACCATCCTCACATTTATGCCTGTGCAGCATTCTTAACAACAATGTCACTCATTTCACAACTGCTTCTCTTCAACATGGTATAAGATAGGGCAAAAAACGTAAAATGTGAGGACAGTCGTAAATTCGAGGACTGGTCAAAAGTGCGAGGACCAGTCAAAAATAACTTTTTCAGCCCTCTGAGTAGTCCCTGTGCACAAAAGGACTATCCAGAGGGCTGAAAAATGTGGTTTCTGACAGGTCCTCGCACTTTTGACCGGCCTTCGCAGTTATGACTGGTCATCATTTATGCCCATTGTACCATTCTTAACAACCATGTCACTCATTTCACAACTGCTTCTCTTCACCATGGTGACAAGATAGGGCAAAAACATAAATTGTGAGGACAGTCGTAAGTTCGAGGACTGGTCAAAAGTGCGAGGACCAGTCAAAAATAACTTTTTCAGCCCTCTGAGTAGTCCATATGCACAAAAGGATACAGCAATAGAGAGGGAAGAAGGAAGGGAAGGGAAATTAGAGTAGGAGTGAGGGTAAGAGAGGGAGGAAGAGAGGAGGGGAAGGAGAAAGAAAGAGGAAGTAGGGAGAAGAAGAAGGGGGGGAAGAGAAAGTAAGAAGGAAAGAAAAGACAGAGGTGGTAGGTTTGAGGAGAAAGATTGCTGTACAATAAAAAAGATGAAAGGGAAGAAAGCCAACCCCAAACAA